ACAGGAAAGAAATTTGATCGTGGAGGCGAAAATTAGATAAGGTCATGTCGGGTTGTTTTACTGTATTAAATGGTCCCGAGGTCGATTCCAGAATTCCCCATTTGCGCCATTTGTGTCTGCATGGTGGACTGTACTCGGAGTGAGGATATAGGCCGACACCAGGTGTTATCGCGCAATGCCATCGGTTACCGCGCTCACGTCAACAGACGTTATAATCACCTATTTTTTTGGAAATAGATTATATTTGACTAGTTTTAGACTTATGTAGCCGGATGGCAGTATTTTGTTCTTAGTAGAGCGTAAAATTGTATATTATAGCTCGGACGAATTATCAATGAAGAAGTCATCCTTTTTAAGAAAGTTCGCATAGAAAGACTATTATTTGCATTATAGTGCGTTGAGGGTTTGTTTTTCGCAAGTTGTTTCAGATCTTAAGGTTGTAAATATACTGCAGGCAATGGCTGTTGTCATTCCAGTGAATCTATTAGAATCTGGCCTATGAAAGAGAAATAGCATACAGACATAGGTTAGATGTGTGCTTTGAACATGTTAAACTTTTCTGTTATCATCCGGGATGACTGAAATATTCCGTAACACATTGACGACATTATGCGATGAATGAGACAGGCTGCTGAATTTCCTGGTTATTATATCTATTTTGATGAAGTTCCTAGTTAAAAGTGCTTGGGCGAAGATGTGAAAATAGTTTAATTGACATTTGCACATGGAATTTCACAATGCCTTAATTGCTCAGTGCATGAAATGGCATCAGAGTATATTGACATCAGTGTTCATCGTGTCTGGAAGAATAGTATAAATAGTCCTTCTCAAATGTCAGAGTACTTAAAATTAGTACCAGATTTATGTCGATTAGTAGCTGGCGGCTGTGTCGTACAACTACTACACCTGTTACATAGGTTATATCAATCTTAAAAATTATTTTGCTTCACATCACTAAGATATTGTGAGATCCTTAATGACTTAATTGCGGCTATGAAAGATGTGGAAGATGCACTTATGGCTCATATATTTATCGCAGTTATTATTACACAAGTTATCTGTAAGCAACTTGTGATGTTCTGAATACTGCAAACTGTTGATAAGAAACTGCATTAAAGGAAAAAATGCTGAACAGCTAGAAAATACTACTGCAGTTTCGTTGGTTGTTACCTTTAGCATTTGTAACTCATTATTCCAAAGCTGCGATTGACGCCAAACCATCCATGGTACCCCACAGGCCCTATTGAAATTTGTGAGACATCTTACATGTCAGGTTGTCTTCCATATTATAAGGTTGCAGATTTTTCAATTTACCTCTCACTGAAGTATCACTTATCTACTTCACTGTGGTCTTTTCATTTGTGCACTATTACACTGCATTTTATGTTAACTGGATATGCCTTTATGCTTACAGTCTATTTGCTTTTATTAGAAACACAACAACAGCAGTGTTGGAACAAAGCTGTATTTTCATAGGAAACATCATATTTTCTATCCTTACACCAATATGGTTGGCATTAAACATTGCAGATGTATACTCACATTCCAACGACATAGCGCTTAGCCAAATGTACGGTGTTCGTTATTAAGGGTTTACAATTTAACTCTTATAATTCATGATACTTCACGATTGCAGTTTATAACATAACTTATTGCGCCTGTAGAAATGACATGCATTAATTGTAAACATTGGTTTAAACGAAATTTGAAATTATTACTATATGCTTGCTGCTATCCTTTAGAAGAGGAATAATGTGTGTTGCAGTGAAAACCCCAGAATAATGATGTCTGTCATCAAAGTCTCATAAACCGTTAATGCCCAGCTCTCGCTACGCTCGGGCCCACGCTGTTCTTAGAAGATTTCTGAGAAACGCTTAGTAACAACGGACGAAAAACCAGAACACCAATTGTTGACTTGAGTATTATGTATTGTTACACCAGCATATAAATCAAGTATCACTAAGCAAACTAAGAAAACTAAGGTCTGTAAACAAATATTACAATAATAAATCGTTATGTTACTTCTAACGATGTTTAACTCTTCTTTCTGAACAGCGACCGATGAGACGATGACTGTCGTATTGATGCCTCCGCGAAAATCGAGGAAGTTGATTTTGAGCAAACAACCAAGAATTGATCGTTCAATCTTCAACTCCATTGACACTCCCCGGCAAAAAAGGGATCCAACCCTTTTTTCCTTCACGACTAATGCACGTTGACTTGGATGCCATTGCGAGAACCTGGGTCACACGGACAGAGCTGAAATGGAAAACAAACAGAAAAGCCAACACACCACAAGCATACCCACAGCACAATCTCACACATCAATGACGACCTGCGCCTCCAGACAGAGACCTCCTCTTGACATCTTGCAACACAGTCTCCACTTGCTAGAATGACTCTTGCAGAATGCAAAGTGACCATGGCAGCACCTCACGATACTCTACGCACATCCTCTTATCTACTCATTACCAATTACCACTGCAATCGCTTGTCACTCATTCTGCCTCAGTTCTAATAGCGGTGACGCATGCGAGCCTCAGTCGTTTACACTCTTTCTCCCCGGCGTGTCGGACCGCAGCTAACAATTGTCTCCGTGTGCATTTCATTCTCAGCAATAGCCTAGCCTCCCCGGCGTATACGACCCATCTGCTGTCCTTAACATCAATCAATTCATTCATGGATGTAGAAGACTCGAAACAACTTCAGAAATAATCACGACGAAAATTTTAACAAAATTACGCAATAACAACAAGACACGAAAACAACAAGTAAACACAATGAATCCAAAAAACACCAATTGCTATGACACACCACACGTATATACAAATAGTACAAACAACCTCGCCGATCATGTCTTGGTGGAATTCCTTTGAAGAATTGCAGGACTTACACCAGTACGCCTACAACCCTTCACAGGTTGACGATTGTAAGTTGTGGAATGTCCAGACACAAACAAGATTAACCAACAATTACATCAATTGGAACTCACACAACTATTTAACACAAACATATGTACAATCAACACATCAAATGTTGTGGATTCTGACACGACAAACTACCCTTGAAGAACCGTAGGACTTACAGCAGTACGCCTACATTCCTTCTCAGGTTGATGATCCAAGTGGAAGTCATCCGGACACAAACAGAATTACCAACAGCTAGATGATAAATGATATCAATTCAGTATATACAATATGAACATATGTACAAAATCACACACCAAGCACATTGGACTGCTCATTGATGCGCTACCCTTTGAAGAATTGTAGGACTTACAGCAGTACGCCTACAACCCTTCTCAGGTTGACGCCCTAGGTTGGAAAATCGTCGCAGAGTTCATTTGCTAACTTTCTTCTATCAGCTATATCCTCAAATCTGAACGGCAACACGCCCATGTCATTGTATCGTAGAATATAGATGACCAATAAACACACGACATATCTCATCAACCAAGTATAGAAACAGAGTAATTTACACCAAAGATAATAACATTCAAATAATAACTTGAAACTAGAAATGCCTTTATTCATGCAAGTCAATTTAACAATAACTCTCTCCTTTACACTTGGCTTATCCACACTAAACTGACCATTGATATTCGTCCTTTCAAACGAACTGATACTACCATAGTCATTGCAGAAGATACTAGAGTTGATGGGCATCTGTTTCATTGTGGATGAAAACACCAACGATGACTGAGTGACACAAGGTGATGAACTTAGTGGTGGATCAGAAGCTGTTCTTGTTCGGCTCTCAGATAGTTGTCCAACTGCAAGATTACCACCACTGCTGTCTTTCACTACTAGTTCAGGTTTAGCACTATCATCTGATGATAGGTGGGCTACATGCTGATCAATTACACTGACTGTCTCACAAGTATGCACACCTTCTGGAACTGCATCTGCGTTCAATTCTACTTCACGTTGTAGTTGTACAGAACCTTTATTTAACTTAGCAGTAGTAGGCATATCCCGCATCTCATAATGATCAACCAAAGACAAATCTGCACTATCATGATCATCACCACAAATATTCAATTTACCGTCAAGTTCATCATTTTCAAGCTCCTTAATAACAGAAGTAGACGATTTTGGTTCCTCCTCAAAATCATTAAAGGTTTTATAACTTCACTCTGACTAGATATACTTTGTAAACTTGTGGAGTCAGAACTCCACTCTGAAGCAGTAACTCTATTCTGTGACACTCTATTCAACAACGGCTTACCAGTTGCAACTACAGACTTCTTCACAACACCGTTATCGTCACACAATTCGGAGTCAGACCTGGAGTTTACATTTAGCTTATCACTGAACTTGCTCACTGGTTCACAGTTCACTTTTGTATGCACCTCTTGCAAACGAGTACAACACAACCGTGTTTGTCTTGCATCTTGCAACTTATCTGTTGAGGATGTACTACGAAAATTGTTACACTCACTAGATCTATATGCATTACTAGACATCATGGAGCCTTCTCGATATCCACCTCTCTGAGGCTTATTCGTCATCAATGAGTACGTTTTCCCCTCAGACTGCTCTATTCTATGGGTGAGATCTAACAGACTGGCGAACTTGCTCATAGATTGATTGACACTAGTATTTACCAGTTTCAGGATATCATCAAACTTTGGCTCGATACCCTCATCCTCCATACGGGAGCTTATCTTCACCCACTTCCTTTGCAGTCGGGTAGGTAGACGTCTTGCTATTACTTCTAGTATAAAACTCGAGTTGAGGTCACTCATTCGATTCATCGAAATCATTCCATTCTTGTAAATTAGCAAATTATCTAAAAACTCAGTGAGTGCCTGGGAGTCATCCTTTAACTGACCACCATTACCCTCAACAGCCTCGAATAATTTCCCTGCAATCATCGAGGGTCTTCCAAACCTTTGGCGTAATATGCTCATAGCCTCATCGTAGCCCTCCTTTGGCTTCATAAACTTACAACACTGTATAGCTCTTGCAGCATCTCCAGTGCAATATCTCATCAAATACATCAATTTCAATTCATCATTTAATAGAAAACTATTCAGCATGATCTCAAACTCCTTTACAAATTGTAAATAATCAGCCGGGTTTCCATCAAAACACCGTGGTTCTAATTTAGGGAGTTTGATGTTCCTATTATCCCTGAACGGCGAAACAGTAACATCAGCCATATCATGTTTAACATCAGACACATCGTTACAATTAACAGACAAGTCACCATGACTTACTTTCCTGTTTGCATCCAAGACACTCTGTCCCTTCTTTGACCCAGGCATTGTTGAACTTGACCAAATTCCAAAAAAGTTCCAGATATTGCTTGTTCAAAGAGGACTTGACCGGCACCAGGAAAGATAAACGGCGACTATCCAAACTTTCACCAACTGTTTCAATCCGCCAGATCTGTTTCCATCGTTAGAAACTGTCATCAAAGTCTCATAAACCGTTAATGCCCAGCTCTCGCTACGCTCGGGCCCACGCTGTTCTTAGAAGATTTCTGAGAAACGCTTAGTAACAACGGACGAAAAACCAGAACACCAATTGTTGACTTGAGTATTATGTATTGTTACACCAGCATATAAATCAAGTATCACTAAGCAAACTAAGAAAACTAAGGTCTGTAAACAAATATTACAATAATAAATCGTTATGTTACTTCTAACGATGTTTAACTCTTCTTTCTGAACAGCGACCGATGAGACGATGACTGTCGTATTGATGCCTCCGCGAAAATCGAGGAAGTTGATTTTGAGCAAACAACCAAGAATTGATCGTTCAATCTTCAACTCCATTGACAATGTCATTACCAAAGAATGAGAAAGGAGAACAAAACATTTTCAGCAAAGGTAGGCAGATATAAATCGTTTACCTTTAATATTACTTCTTCCTTACTTCAGCTATTTAAAAAACACTTTGTTTACTTATTTGTAGATATCTGGTAACGTCAATCACCCCAGTCACAGAGATTCGACATTGCACAAATTATTCCGACAATCGACTGCGTAAACACATTTGCTTGTTATTATTTTTTCATTAAATACATTTAATATCCTGCTTACCAGACCTTTCTTATAATATCTGAGTTTAGATGTATTTGTCATGATGACTAGGTGCAGACATGACTTATTAATAAGAACTGACGAAGTAATTGGTGGCATAATTTAGTGTAAGCTAAATCTAAATACGATTGTTAAAGCTCAACGAATTCAATAATTCGTCTGGTGTAGAGTTGAATTTACGCTACATGTCAACAGCCTTAGTCATATGGATTGACATCACGCTTTAAGTGAAACATTAGTAATGCAATACTTTCGAACACACGTAACCGTATAAGAACAGGGACTCGAATGCAGTGGCTAAGGTATGCCTACTATTGTCCCTAAAGACTTGTATATGACTATGATACTTATGCACGTTAGCTAACTGAAATACTTATAATTTAACACGTATGCTGACCGACATCGTTCCTACACAATTACACTTACGTATTGTTAGTAGTGAAAGTCCTAGAGAGCACCGGTCTAGCATGCCGTGCTCACAAAGTGAACACATGAATTGAAAGACAACAAAATTTACATGAAAATTTTATTTTCATTATGACAAAAATTTAGTTTATTTACATATTAAGAACACGATTGATTCCTGCGATTACTCCGTCTGCATAAGCATTGGCAAACACTTCTCCAAATTTGTCATTAATTCTGTCCATACCCGCATTGATAATCTTCTTTTTGGTATAGTATATGTTACTTCGATTTCGAGGGATAACTGCTGACGTACTTTGAGATGCGAACAAGTTGCGTGACCACGTCCATTGTTTACAATTATGCATCACATGGTTAACTACAAAAGGTGGAACAAAAAAAGTTAAGATAACTATGAACTGATTATTACATTACATTATACATTAAAAACGTAGTCATAAAAACGCAAATATACCTGTGAAATACGGCTTTCTTAAGTGGACCAAAAGCAAGTGTCGGCAGGGGTACCGACAGGTCTGAAATGTAAAGCACATGCAGGTGCAAGTACTCAGATCAACCTGCACTGTTTTCCCATTTTCTTTGAAAAATACATAATCAACGGATTCGAACTCAACAGTAGCCCATCGTCGCAATTGGTATTCACGTATTACCTTCCTCGCGGCGTATGGTGTAAGCAACCGTATAATTGGGATTAAACTTTGTGAACAGGGATACGTGAAGCATCGTGATTGAGCAATATTCGCCTCCTGCTGTATTATTGAAAAACTTCGTTTATGCCATTTATACACCTTTAGCATACTTTTATGCAGACTATCAGATCTTTGCAAAAACCGTTTCATCTGCTTGTGGGAACTCTCGACACGATTATTTGTTTCGTTCCCAAAAGTCGGCACGTTATCTCTGAAACAGGCCGCCCACAATTCTCGTCGATGCATCCAACGACGTTGTAGGTATTGACTGACATTAGGGTCTAATCTGCTAATAACTCTGAAGTAGAAATTAAATCTGCAAAATGAGAACAATAGAGGCATTACTCTGATCTCCTTTTACACTGCACTAGACGGCATAAGTAGTTCTTCACAATGGGATTTCTTGTCTACGAATAAAATGTAAAGTATGCTTTGAAAAACTTACTTCCCGACAGAAAGCTCGGCAAACATGAAAAGAACACAAAACAATGTGCGCTTGTCTGTGCGTTAACTTGACGGCTGCTATTTCAGCTTGCGCACAATCCATAATGAAGGATTCTGTTTTCGAGGTGTCTTCCATTATTTGCCGGAAACAGTCTAATATCCAAACTACATCTCGTTTGAATTCTTTTCTAGTCCACGCAAATAAAACTGGTCGTCCACGACCAAAATTATCCGTCACAAGTAGCTGGAACAAAGAATACCTGCACGTTGATTAATGAATTGGTAAACTTACTTCCCTTTATTTGTATTATACGTCGAATCAATACCAACAACTTCAGGGAACTGTTTATACAATTCCATTTGCTCATAAGTTGCAAAACAAATTCTTGTTAGTGAATTCCTGATCGGTTCATCGGAATAATACTCCATTAACTTCCCACGGGATTTTAGGAATTCAAAAATGTCACGACGACTCGAAATACCTTAAGTATGTAACAAGTACGTCAACGTTACCTTTATTCACTGCGGCTTTCATATTTTTAACGTCAATGCGAGTTATATCCTTGTTGTACTTCTCCTTAACATGCATTATTATTTCATCGGATGAGTGGGATTGCTGAAGAAGTGGTTCAATATTTTCTTTCTCTTCAACTGTTAGTCGTCTATACCATGGGTCATTCTGCATGTACACCCTGCTGCATGGATGGTTATGCACCATATTGTGGGAAGCAATTATGTATTCACTATGATGCAAAACCACGCGAAATGAAGACGAGCAATTGCAACATTTAGACCTGCAATATTCATGAAATCATATTACACTTCTTCTTACGACTTGTTTTTCAATTTCAATCCACGTCTTGTACGATTCACTCCAAAAGTGCATCTAAAACCAACATAAGCGTACTTAAACCTGGCATCCGGCATCGTTTTGCTGCAATTATGAACATAGTGAGTGTAGGATAACTACACTGTTAGCATTAAATGACTTCCTCACTTTTTGAAATTCTGCTAATGACTTCTCAAATTCATCCCAGCTGAAGAAACGCTTTCCAAGTATGTATTCAGCAAAAATTCCACTTAAATCTGTGCTCCTGTCACGCGAATTGACTACCTGCAACGGACTAAGATAAAGTTATCAATTAGGATCCATCTATGTCACAACTATTCCAACATAAATCGTAAAAAAACAACATTGAAATACAGGGATGATCGATAACCATCAAGAAAATGCCGCACGTATAACCTAAATTACAGAAAAACACAAGAACCCACCGGTTCGTTGACATCGCAAGCAACCAATAGACCAAACAACGAATTGTACGACAAATAATGCCTAGTACATGCACAAACAAAGAAAAACAAAGCGTTACAATAGTTTCATACACGTTTACAGTAATCACATATGCTGGCAAACGACGCAAACACAACCACGCAAATACAGCACCCGACAGCACGCACCCAAGGACAATTCAAACTCCAATTGACCGCCACCATTCTAGCCAATGAAAGACGAAAAAAAATTAGTCGCGGAAAATATAACACGAGACAACGTATATACTCACCCCTGTACTCGTAAGTTGAGTAAAATGTTGAAAACCAGTTGCTTCTTTATTTCAGATCATCATGAATACTCATTTACATCGTGTCCGCCAGCTTCTTTAAATGGTAGAATTGGATCGTTCCTGGAATTTGAGTGATTATGGGATAAATGGTTTGGAATTAATTTTTGATTCAGCAACCGGTGAATTTTTTATTCTTTTCGATCTAGTACCAGAATAACTGCGAACCATTCCATTCAATATGTCGAATAAGGCACGCAGGAGGAGATCATTACCATGGAATGAGTCAACTTGATCTGAGATGCAGCTTTCAGCGTGTCTTCGTTATATCATAGATATCCAGGTTTATTTGCGCTGTAGAGGCAGTGATTTGGATTATGACGTATTCTACAAAGTCTCCGTGCCCATTTGAAGTATACATGTGCTTTGAAAGGATTACTTTGTTGGCTCCTACCCCCACTGAGTGTTAACAACAGCTGCTGTGGGTTTATGTATTTCCTCGCCTTTTTGGATAAAACATCGCCGCATTCTTTTTGGGTAGGAGACCAGTTGGTGGATTATATATGATATCCAAGTAACTTTTATCTTTTCATGTGGTGTTGCGGTAAGTTTCTACCTTGTTTTCTCATATTTCATTCGTATGTTGATTATGGTTCGGCCTTTGTATCAGGTAGACATAGTTTGAACGACTCTTGGTTGAATGGGTGTTATTGTCATGACTGCTGCTTTTTTGTCTGGAATTATAAATAGAGACAAAACAAACAACAGGTGTAGTCTCTGAGTTCATACATTAAATGGGCCTATGATTTCTGAAACTCTTACATGGGAATTACCATTGGTATCAATTACAAACTCACTTAGTGTGTCATTAAGTGCCTTTTCAAAGGAGGCCAATGTGCTTGCTAGTCGTATTTTCTCAGGTAGTTTGTTCCATATTTGGGCATACCTAATCAAGAAAAACTTTTGCCTGGTGGCTGTTTTACATGGTTCTATAGCCACTGTACCTTTAGTGTGCCTAAGGTTGTATCCTGTGTTACCTGAGGGCCGAGTATAGTTACTTACTTTACTTTTACTTTACTTCGGCTATCTCCTACGGGAGGATGAGCCGGCTTCATGAACGTCTCGAATCATCGCTGCCCAGGCGCGGCAATTTGTAAGAGAGTTCATGAAGTTTCATGGGAATTGGGTACGAGTGATGTCCCCAGCATCGCTCGGCCTTTTGTTTGAGAGTGCAGCTCTAGCCTTTACACAGCCAAGTGTGACCTACAAGGCAGTAGGAGTGGAGTAGGGAGTCCACTATCCATTGGCAGCCGGTGACCGGAGTTCGGTTCATACGCCTTTTTGAATGGGGCCAGACATCCAGGACATCCAACAAGCCCTTTGTCCATACGTCTGCCGGTGAGCTCCAGTGAGCTTCATACGCCAGTCGTTGGAGGTTTGGAATCAGGGTTTAGCCATCTCCCCTAGACTGTCATCCAATGGACAGTCAACCCGGTGGAGAGCGCCGGGCATCCGCTTTTGCCCTCTCGCTTTAGTGAGAAACACCTCCGCCACGTGAAGGCAGTGAGTAGGACTTCCTCAGGAGAGGCTATGTAAGACGCCCGGTCATATGGGAGCATTTCAGGTGTGCGGAGGGGTGGCCAACCCGCAGCGCAAGGCACCCGAGTATAGTTAGCAGGGGTATACACTATTTGGTTAAGAAGCTTATAGAAGAGTAACAGATTTAGTCGCAGTCGCCTTAACCATAATGTTTCTAGTCCTAGGATTTCACATCTGGTAGAGTAGTTTGTGCCGTTATCGGTTCCGAGTACTTTTCGCGTGAAGTACCTCTGTACTCCTTCTACTTTCAGTTTGTCTTCTATGCATGTACTGCTGAATATGAATGAGCAGTAATCTAGGAGTGGGCGCACACAAACCTTGTACAGTAGTATTCTGGATTCGTTTCTGTAGAAGTTCCTGAGTAGGAAACCAATAAGCCATCGTGATTTCGACACTTGATTCGAGATATGCTCTGAAAATGATAGATTGTGTGAATTTTTCAGTCCTAGGTTTAGTACAGATTTGAGTCTGGGGATTTTGTGGCCCTGAATTGCTAGGTTGAGGTCAAGGTTGGAACAGCCTATGCAGAGCCATCCACACTTTTCAACATTAAACTCAAGTTTCCACGTGTCACACCATCTATCCATTTTTGCTAATTCTTCATGTATGGAGTTCATAGTTGGGCCGATATCTGTATTTGTGCAGGTATATGTCACCTTCAAGTCATCTGCATACAGTATTGGCTTGCCTATACTAAAACATTCACATATACTGTTTATGTATATAATGAAAAGAAGGGGTCCCAATACACTCCCCTGGATGACACCACTGCTGATTGGTCTAGGTCTGGAGGTCATTGAGCCAACTTTAGTTGTCTGATTCCTGTCATACAGAAATGATTTTATCCAATTGTAGAGGGGGTTGCGTATCCCTAGTGAGCATAGCCTACCGACTAACAGACTATGTGGGACTCTGTCGAAGGCTTTCCTTATATCGAAATAGAGGATAATCACTAGCTCTCTCCTATCTCTTCTATAGGTGACTTCGTTGAAAAAGTCTATATGGCAAGTGACGCAAGATCTTTTCTTGAGGAATCCGTGTTGTGACAGGTTGATGAGTTTATGTTTTAGAAAGTAGTCTGACATTTGGTCTTTGATTACTTTCTCCATGATCCTTGATATGACTGGTGTTATATTGATAGGCCTATAATTACATGCACTAGTTTTGGCCCCTCCTTTATGCTTAGGTAATATATATGTGTTTTTCCAAGTTTCAGGGTAGGTTTCGGTCACTAGTGAGATATTAAATATTCTAAGTAATAATACAATCATATCCGTACCACCGTTTTTGTATATGACGGATGGTATATCGTCTATCCCACAACTACTGTTAGCTTTTAATGTCCTTACCGCCGATGCTATATTTTGTATATTAAAGTTTATTTCACCTAACTTGTAGTTATTTTTGCAGGTTATGTCGAGAATTGGGGACGGATGTGCTTTGGTGTTATTGGAGAACCACTCACTCAGGAGTTCACTAATGATCTGGGGATCATCATAAATTATATCTTCGTGTTCTAAATGACTGATATTGTTTTCTTCACCCTTCTTCAACCGTTTTTGCAAGATTTTGCAGAGTTCCTGGGTTTTAGAGGTGCCCTCTAGGGCTTTATTTTCCTCGACTTGTGCTTTCATTTTATGTCTCTCCTCGAAATTTTTAAATATTTCGTGTATCAGGTGTAATGCATTAAATTCTTTGTATAAATAAAATC